AAATAGCTATGAGACCCGAAGATATACATAAAACCGCGTTTATAACAAAATCGGGCACTTATGCATTTTTACGCATGCCTTTTGGGTTGTGTGGGGCCCCATCAACATTCCAGAGAGCTATGGACATTGTTCTAAAGCCTGTCCTAGGAAAATCAACTTTAATTTATCTAGATGATATAATTATAACGAGTAGTACGTTGGAACAACACATTAATGATCTCGAACAAGTTTTTAAATTATTAAAAGAGGCCGGTCTTACAATTAACGCCTCAAAATGCAAGTTCGCAACTAAAGAACTTAAATATCTCGGTTATAAAATTTCGCAAAAGGGTATAGAAACGCAAGATTCAAAAATAAAAGCTATTAAGAATTTCCCACCGCCCAACACCGCCAAGAAACTTTCTTCCTTCCTTGGGTTATGTTCTTACTATCGATCTTTCATAAAAGATTTCGCTAATATTGTTGAACCACTCTTAGTAATCAAAAGAAAAAAGGGGTAAATTTACGTGGACAGCGGAAGCTAACACAGCTTTTGAAAGATTAAAAGAAGCGCTTATTAATGCCCCTGTTTTAAAATTCCCTGAGGGGGACGAAAACCTGGAAATTGCAGCAGATGCGTCAGACTATGCGGTGGGTGCGGTTCTTATGCAAAATAACCATCCGCTGGCATTTTTTAGTAAAACATTGAATCAGACACAAAGGAATTATACAGCTACAGAAAGAGAAACATTAGCCGTATTAATGGCTGTACACAAATTTCGAGTTTATTTCGGCAAATCGCCAGTAACAGTCTTTTCGGATCATGCGGCTGTTGGTAGACTTTACTCGGGAAAAAACCTAACGCCCAGGTTAATAAGATGGGCTTTAAAACTCCAAGAATATAATATCACAATAAAATATAAACCGGGTAAGGAAAACAATGTAGCTGACGCACTTTCTCGTATAAAACTGGACGATGAAGGAAATGAACTTAAATGCGCTGTGTTGACTTCAAAAATTTTAGATTCTAGAGATACGGTTATTACTGAACTGAAAGCTGATCCTGAATTTGGAAATATCTATGCTTATTTGAAAGACCCCGAAAGCTTTGAGCATACAGATATCGATGCGATAAGAAATAGAGCAAAAAACTATGAAATAATAGATAATTTATTATTCTATACGAAAACAACAAACGAAAATCTTGAGTATAAAGCCAGTCATCCCAGCCTCGCTTCGATTAAGCATTTTGAAGGAGTTGCACGAAGCAAAAACAGCCGGCCACCTCGGGGTCAGAAAGACTTTAAAAAGGGTACGCGAGGCGGTATATTTCCCGCAATTATACAAAATAGTAACGGCGTATGTCAGGTCCTGCAATCAATGTCAGTTAATAAATGATATTAATTACAGCCCGGCCGGGTACTTAAATAGCATTCGCGCTACATTTCCGAATGAAATTTTAGGCATAGATCTTCCTTGGTCCCTTCCCCCAGAGCGAGTTAAATAAAAATCGTTTTCTTTTAGTAATAGTAGATCATTTTTCAAAATGGATAGAAATTGTTCCACTTAAACGCGCGTCAGCCAAAACAGTCGCAGATGCATTCTTACACAGATACATTTTAAAATACGGTGCACCGATAAAAGTCATTAGCGATAACGGAAAACAATTCATTAGTCAAATATTTGAAAACATATGCAATGGACTTGGCATACGCCATATCAAAATGGTTCCGTATAGACCACAGGCTAACATAGCAGAAAGAGTTAATAAAAACATAGTAAAAATAATTCGCAGTTACGTGAGCACACATCACAAGCGCTGGGATGGCTACATAAATGAATTAGCTTATGCTTTAAGAACGGCACAATCATGATACTACGGGAAAAACTCCAGCAGAATTATTTTTAGGCAGAAAGTTAATTACGCCTTTAGATAAATTATTCTTTGTGCAACAAAGAGAGCAGGAGTTTAAACAAAAAGATGTGCAAAAGTTGATTGATCAGGCGCTTAAAACCTCGGATACGGCAAGAAATAGGCAGAAACTATATTACGATAGAAAACGCCGTGAAGCAGATTTTAAAGTTGGGGATAAAGTATTGAAGCGGAAATTTTCTTTATCAAGTGCCCCAGACAATTTTATGGCAAAGCTAGCTCCAAAGTTTGAAGGCCCCTATGTAATTCAGGAAATCAAAGGAGTAGTCTTATATCTTAAGAACGAGAGAGGGGAAATCTGTAAAGCAAGTCCCGACCAGGTGGTGAAAAAATACTATAATCCAAATGATTTTGAAATCCTTAATTAAAAGTTTCTTGCAGGACTCAAGTCTAAACGAAGTAGAAGGTCCAGAGACAATAACAACTATTCCACCACCCAAGAAACAGAGAACTGAAGAGAGACCTAGCACTTCTACAACCCGGACGTCGGTATCAAAAAGAAAAAATAATTTTCAAACTCCAGCGTTTAAGAAAAACAAAAATACAGATGCACCGGGTAAAGAAACCGTGGTAAAGAGAAAAACACCACCTACAAAGGATTGCAGGAAAAATTATACATCAAGGAGAACGCGCACACGGCCACAGAGTCAGGTGCCAGCAAGGCCGCCGTTCCGGAAACTGAAACGCCAACAGGAGGCACAAAAATACGAGGAACAGAAGAAATTCAAGAAGGACTCCAGACCGGAGGACGTCAAGACCAGCCGTCCCAGGGAAAAACGGAAAGGCCAACAACCAGACGATTACTCCGCCAAGAGGCCAGCATGTAGAGGACGCAAAAGAAAAAGCAACGTGGACGACACTCGGAGGTCAGTAAGGAGAAGATTGACATCCATGAAACCTCTAACTTGGGATCAATTTTGCCAAAAACGGATGACGGAATTTCAAGCATCGAAAACTCAAAGATAAGTTAAAATTAAAACCTTCTATAAATTTTTTTTCTCTTTTGTTCCGAAATGTTATGCATAAGTACGAAGTTCTATGTTTTGACGAAAGTCAATATGTCTCGGTTGAGACTTAGTTTTGTTTTACTTTATTTAGCTAAGGCAAAAGTATTATTTTCTTTAAGTGTAAAAGCTAAAAACAAGCATTTTCTGTTGGTCGAAAGACTAATTCTGTTATGTTAAAGCCAAAATTTGGCCGAAGATAAAAATAACTTCGTATTCTTGTATTAATAAGAATTTTAGTTTCAGTGCCGCCAGCTTGGCGAAGAATGAGTAAAGTAAAAATTTATTTTCTCTTATTCATTTTATGGTAAATTGTAAAAATCATATGTATTAAAAATTTTGTAAATGTACGTAAATACTTGAATGTTATGTAAAAGTAGAATTTAGTCTAGAAGCATAAAATTGTAGATGCTAAAAGTGAATGCTTAAAAGCAATGAATTCAAAATTTAAGTATTAAACTGTAGATAAAGTCATGCTTTAGAGCGAAAGCCTGCATGTTTAAAGATGAATGAGGGGGAAGTTAGAATGAATGTGTTTTGTAGGGTTCTCCACCTACATTTGAATTTTTAAGAATATTAAAGTAGCTCATTGAGTTGTAGAATGTCGAGTAAGGTGTGTCTATTTGGTCGTTGAATTCTAACAAATCATGGTGGTTAGGGGAAGTGTTGTAAGACTAAAACACGAATATTCCCGTTTGACACCACACACGGTGGAGAGCCAGGGTAAAGTTAAATTAATGCTTGAAAAATTGAATGAATGTGAAGTAAGCAATAACTAAGAAAAACGAATCGTTTAAAAACAAAAATTTATTGTGTCAAGAAAGTGTAAATTATAATGTATTGTAGAAAGATACTGATACTTATTCCTTCCAGATGCTGGAAGGAAAGACCAAGATTGATTGATGAAGTCCAGGAAAAGTTGCTGTAAGAAGAGAGCTTTATAACGATACAACAGAATTTTAGTATACAATTTGTTACATAAGATTTTTTTTGTGTAAACGAGGTTCTCGCCAGTTAGTTCAGAATTAGAGAAACTTACAACAGGTCGTTTGTAGGACCTGCTTCCAAGTTTTCCAAATTCTGGCAGCGGCAAATGTAGGGTTTATATTTATTTTAACTAACATTTATTTTAAGTTTAAACTATCTTTCCTGTCAAGCCTTACTTTCCCCTGGAACTGCCAATGCCAGAATATGTAAATTTTAGTAGAACGCGCAAGGATTCAAATTATCAGCGGAAGTATTCTGATTTAAATAGAAGGAAACGAGTTCGGTGTGATATTCTTACTTCACGAGCGCGGAGGTAGTTAGCGAGAAATTGAAGAACCCCGCGTTTCGGCCTATGTGCTTGGCGGGAAGTAGTGTTAATCGTTCAAGCGAGCTTCAAGTCTGCTGAATTAGCAGCGGTGTTGTAAAACGCGGTGAGTTATTTTAGAGAGCCTCGTAGTTAGAGTCTTGTCTTTAGTTTCTTTTCAGGTTATTATTTTTATTTGACCTGCCGAGTTGGCACAGTTCTGTGAGCGTCAAGAGCACGCAATTGTAATTTATTACGTTGAATAAAAAGGGACTTAAACCCTTACAAGACTCTGTCTTTTATCCAGTTTTCACAGTCACCTCTTGGTTGCGTGCAAGTTGGAGGCGCGCAACGTTACAATTATTGAATTTGTCTTTTCCTCAAACGAAATTTTAAATGGCATATGGTATTCCTTCGAAATTCAAAAAATGGTGATTAGTAACCGTTCTTTTAACAGAAAATCCCAAAAACCTAATTGGGATTGAAATTCAATCGAATTACCACCAGGCCTCTAAATGGATATCTTAATAGCATTTATATCTGCTACTAAAAAAAAAAAAAAAAAAAAAAAAAAAAAAAAAAAAAAATTGCTGATTACAACAAAGAATTTTAGTTGAATCCTTTTGAATAAGTCACAGAAAAACTAAAAAACAGTCATACATTATACAAAATGTGCAGTTGCACTATTCGTAGAATCACTGTACGTATCACTATACGTAGAGTTGAATACGTATATAAAATCCTTTTTTTTCTTCCAGAAACTGTTTGACTTTAGTAAATAAAATACAATAAGAAAGTAATTAATCTATTCTTTTATTGACAGTCTTATCTTTGAATTATAATAAATAAAAAAGTAGTTTTAAATGCATTTAAGGAACAATATTTGCATTAGAAAATTCAGAATTGAGAAATAAAAAAATGAGTGAGTTGTCTGTGTCTATATCTTTGTTATATATCTGTTGTCGCCTAGACGATATAGGAGTTAGGGGAGCCTACTACGATACCGGAGGGCCCGGGTTCGAATTCCAGGTAAGACATGGATGTTTCTGTATGTATAGTTCGGTGTTGCATGGCGGTAATCTAAATATGCGGTGAGCCGAAAGTCCTCCCGTGTGGATTAGTGGGGGAGGAGAGGGATGGGAAACTCCCGAATCCTCCCCGGGGTGCTCTCCCTCAAAATTTGGGGTGGAAAATAGAAGTCCAAATTCTCTTCGGAGTAGCCTCTGGCAACCATTGTTCCATGTAATATGGACAAGACAACAACAACATATCTGTACAAATATTCACTAAAGCATAACGCAATACTTGTTGACAACAGTGAAATTAACCGGAGAGTTAACTGACAAATTTCATAACTACCGCTAAAACGCACAGTTCCAAAGTAATTCATTATTCAAAAATAATATAATTTAAGTATTTTACACATATTTTAACTGTTATTTAAGAATTTTATAATTTCTTCGCAAAATTCTTCTGGGTATTCTGCATGAATCGAATGGCCTGCACCTTCTATGGCTTTGAACATTGCCTTCGGGAAAAGTTTCAAGATGAATTCTTTATCATTGAATCTAAAAACAAACAAATTCATTTCATCAGCTGAAAAATAACAAAAACAAATATATTAAACTATGTCAATCATAACACAAAATATATCAATTATAATAATAAATATATTAAATATATCAAATTGAACTTCGTTCTTACTCTCTAAGCAGTTTTAGGGTAAATACAAGATGTCTTATATCAGCCACTTAACGAGTTTCAGTAGGAAGGACAGATGACTGGCACATGAAATTTAAGTTTGATATATGCATGGTAGATGATTATGTAATTTATTAATATATAAAACGGATGCTTCTTTTAAGCAATAGATATTTAAGTATGTATGTAAAAAGATGGATATCATTCAGAATGAATCTAACATCCAGGCTTAAGATTTTATAAACACATCTTACCTACTCCTCATTTTCAATAGCATGAAGTACCATATGGCACCGTTCTGTAGGTGCACCTACTTATGTCTTAGGCGGTTAGATACCCATCTTACTTACTTGTATCTTAGGGCTCCTCATTTGTTAACGAATGAAGTGCCATGTCGTACTATTCTGTAGGTGTGATCAGTATACAACTTTGAGTTACTGGTAGAGGAAAAAATTTAAAAGTACAGCTATTCTGCATTGAGATTTCCTAGTTTTAAGTACGACTAGAGAAGACTACTGCACTCTTAATTTTCTGATGCCTTACGCTCATTACGAAATCTCGTAACTTTCATGCCTGGTAGGACAGAAACTCTATTACGACACATGGAGAACACTGAACAATTTAATGAAGCCAAACCGTTTTATAAATTAACAAGTTATTATAATTTAACGAAATGAAATATCTACCGTATACGCTTACTTAAAGTCCGCAAATTTTTTAATAAAATTACATCACTAAAATGGATGTGCGGACATTACACGGGTAATTCAAATGTCTCGCTTTTTCTCTTGAGTAATTTTCGGTGTAAATTTCATTTTAGCATTTCGGTGTAAATTTCAACAGCCAAGCTAAGTTATAAGCGAAAGGAAATGGCACAAGTAAATAAAACATCAAATTTAAAGTTGTCTACAGCTACCTAAAATTTACAAGCTCACTTTCTCCCATCTACATATCTCATCTCTTCTTCTCTTCTCTACATATAATAAAAGAAAGAGTCTGTCTGTGTGTCTTTCGTTTGCGCTGCTCGTAAGCTAATAGACCCACGGCTACGAAATTTGGTACATAGTTGCATCTAGACAAGAGCCAGTGCACCTCGAAGCGATTTTTTCGCAATTGGAGTTAGAATTTTTTTTTAATTTTATGTTTCGTGACGAAATCGCGTCATTTTGAGACATAATGGGCTTTAGGAAAGCGAGATTTTACTCTACACACTCCATTTTCACATCCATTTAAAATAGCTAAGTGCCTACATTTCATGTAGGCACTTAGCTATTTTACAAACTTAAAATAAATTGCGTGTTTCAATAAATCGATTAAATACGAATTTATTTAACAAAAGGAGCTTAACACCTTTTTAACGGGATTGTTTCTAAAAAGTTTAGTTTTAAAAATGTACAGCTTTTTTTCTTGATTTTTGGACACGTTTAAACTTCATCCTTGCGAAGGCTTTTACAAAAGAATTTTGGAAAATGATAATCTTTTGTTTTTTTTGAAAATTTTTTTAATGAAGCTTCCGAGTACACTTCTCACATCTTTAAAAATTGATTTTGCAACAATTTTCCTGTTTATTGTTGTTGTAGATTTTTGATGAATCGCATCGTTTGATAGTTTTTTCTTTTAGAAGTATGGGTTTGGCAACAATTTTTCATATTATTTCTTCGTCTCTGTTTTTAAGAGATTGGCATATTCATTGTCTTTTATATATATATATATATATATTATAAGCTAGTTGTAAGTACAATACTAAAAGACCATTTTGTCAAATCTTTGCCAATATGCTGCAAATTAAGAAAATGAGAAGAGAAATTGTAGTTACGCCAAAAAGTTACCAGGAGCGTGGCTCCCAAAAAGTTCAACACGTTAAAAAAAAAGATGGCATTGAATGGTGAAATATTCGGCTACATATATCTATATCTATCTATCTATCTATCTATATATATATATAAATGACAATTTATGATTTACGTTGTAAAGTAACAATACTAAAAGACCAATTTTGGTCAAAGCGTTTGCGCATATGCAGCAATTAAGGAATGAGAAGAAAATTGTAATTAGCTCGCCAAACAGTTACCAGGAGCTGTGGCTCCAGAAAAAGTTCACACAGTTTTTTGAAAAAAATGACATTGAATGAGGTGAAATATTAGGCTACATGCTAAAAAATGTAAAGTATAAAACACAGTAAATATAATCGTTGAAACAAGTTAAGGCAAAAAATAAAACATAGTAAAAACCAATCGATGAACAAGTTTTAAGCATATAAAAAAGTTAAAACATTAAAAATATAAAAAATTAAAAGCGGAAAATGGTAAATTAGTTCGATTCGAGGTCCATCCTGGCTTTTCAAGGGAAATTTCTGGTTGAACGTCGAACCAAGCTAACTCCATTACGCGTTTCGCCGAAACAGACAATTGAAACTATGCGTTATGAAATGTTTTAAATAATTACATAAACTGTCATATTTTTTTTTCTTTTTTTTTTAGTCTCAATTCTCTGTTCCATTTTCCCGACGCGTCCGCACAAATTGACACATTAAGGTGTAAAAAATGTAAATGCAACTCCGATGTACAGCAATAATACAAATACAAATAAAAATAAAAATAAATAGCGGTCTGCTATTAGTCAAAAAATACAATTAACGTACGGGCTGGACCTGCAAGCTTAAAGAATTAAAACATTATAAATGAATCTGAAATGAATCCTTTAAAAATTGAAATTAAATTTAAAGGAAAACTAACAGCGTGGGTCTTGCTAAGAACAAGAAAAATTTTGTAAAAGAAACATAAAAAACAGACCTGTGGCTATGCTGGCTTCTCTATCGTGGAGCAAAATCCAAAAGGGGTTGCAATTCCCCTCCGTGCTTTTCAACGCTCTCCAACTCGTCGTGTGACGTAAGAAGGGGGAAACAAAGTCACTGGGCATTAGCCAATGTCTAAAAACTGTCCGTTGGCGGGAACCCGCCCAAAAGCTAAAGGGTGTCGAAAGACATGGAAAACATTCAAAATGGCGTCAGTCAAGTTGTTTTAAGAAAAACTGCTGCAAAAAGTGAAAATGGCTAATTCAGTTAGAATTACTTAACATGGCCACAAAAGTAAGAGGAAAAGGGAAAAAACAATCATTTGTTAATAAAAGTCGTAATTCTTCAAGCTAGAGGGCGATCAAGCTTCACGAAATGAAAAGGCCCGTTTGTTAATAACAGGATTAGAATTGGCCATCAAAGTAATTTAAAACTATTTAAACAATAGTATTAAAAGTATTGTGCTAAAATTTTGGAGGAAAGAAAACGTAGTGACAAGGAATGTCTGTACATTTTTACATTAGATTCTTCAGAATCAGCCATCCACTTTATACCGTCCCAAAGGGCTTTAAGCATAAAATTTCATTAATTAACTCAAAAAAATCTAAAAATTGGTAAGGTTAATGCCAGTTTTTTTAAGGTATTTTTAATTAATTTTTGAGGAATTAAGGTTATCTTTCAATATTGTGACGAATTATAGTATTTCTTCTTGAAGGTGTTTTTTCCTGTATTGCAGATTCTTTTAATTCTAAGCAGCTGTGAGCATAGATTGTGTTCAGGATGACTCTTTTAGAAATATTGGAATTCCAGTTGATTAATTTAAGTGTTGAAAAGTTGAATTCTCTTTTTTGTCGTAAACTTTTAATAAATTGTAATCAATAATATGTAAATCAAGGTAGACTACATTATTTGCACCATATTTGTATTATTGAGTTTTAAGCATGTAGGGTAGATATTAGCAACTTCTATTTTGTTGCAGTTGTTAAAGCAATGACATCATCATATATCGATAGATGTGTTGGTAAAATTTATGTTCTTCTTTACTGAGTGAATGGATAAGGTCAATTCTTTTGTAAAAAGGAATAATTCACAGACAGAAGTTGAAAAATTACCACCCGTAGGAATTCCCTGCATTTGTTTAAATATATTGTTGTTGAAATTGAATATAATTATTGAAAGCACGTACTTGCAGGAAGAGAAAATGTTGCCATTTTTCAGCACTTATTATTGTAGAAATTTGCGGAAAATAAATTCAGGAAGAGCAAGTAAACTTTTATAAATTTCTTCAAGTGACAAAGTAAGTATAGAGGATTCAAGTGGCAAAGTAGTATAAAGTCGTAGCATTGGATATGTTCTATTTTAATTTTACAGTTTTTAGAACTTGTTCGTTACTTGAAATCTTCCATTTGCAATGCAGATCCTTAAAAATCATAGTTATTAATGAGGTCACGTATTAGGCGTAGTTTTTGTGTAAATAAAATAGATTTGTAAATAAAATAGATAATCTATTTCTTTAAGATAACTTTTCGGTACTACTGGTAATGAACCTGAATTTGATCGGAAACTTATGAAATTTTGGTAGTGCATAGAGATTTGCAAACCTGTTATTATATTTCCGGGATGTATTTTAAGTCTTTATGTAGTGCATTAAATTTATTGAGAAGAATCTTAGTGCTGTAGTAATTTTTTGGTAGGTGCAATTGTTATTTAATTCATTATGCAGAAGGTTGAAGGAAAACATTGGAATTCCCTGTATTTGTTTAAAGATGACTTTTGTTTAAAGATGACTTTTTTCAAATAACACTAAAATTATTGCTAGCTTTGTCAATGTTCGTGATGATAAAGCTATCTTGCAGTTTTTGAATAAGATTTTCTAGTTGCTTTTTACTGTGCAAAGATTTGAAATTGTGTGACTTGAAAAGCAAAAGTTGAAATTCTTTAATTAGTGCAGCTTTCTATTCAAGAAAAGTTGTAGTAGGTAAATTGGATCTATTACTAGCTAATATAATAAATTTATCAAGATCATTATTGAATTGTTTGAGGCAAAAGTGCTTTATTAATACTGAAAGTAGGATGAAATTTGGTGCTGAGTCGCATAAGGGCTCGCAATTCTAAGCCTTCAATGATATTGAGATCTCCAGTAATAACATGTTGGTGGAAATGATCGACATATTTATTGTAACCAGGCAGTATACAATTGCATATGCTATTTTCTTGTATAACGTGGTGGTTGACAACAAGTTGACCTAAGGTCTTTTCAAATTTAAAAAAGGGCTTAATTTGAAGTTGTTGGTGAGGAAGCAAGTGTTGATATTTTTTAAATATGTTTGGTATTTTAAGCTGATTGTAAGAAGGGTGCTTGAACTGTATAGCACAAAAAAGTTTTTTGTGAAAAAAATTACTATTCTTTAGTTTAAAATTGCAAAAGTTCAATAATCAGATCTTTGACTATTTTGAAACATTGAGAAAGTTGATCTATCATTTTAATCAGATTCCATAATTTAGTATTCTTAAAGGTATGAAGAATTTTAATGGCATTTTTAGCGAATTCATTATGTTCAAGGTAGGAATTAAGATTTTTAATAATTAATTTCAGATCCTTGTGTTGAAAAATAAATTGTTTTTGGAATCACCTCCTCTCGATCCTCTGGTAGTAATATTGCTAAAAAATCTGAATTGTCCATATATAGAGACTTCTGACTGTCTATTGGTGGTATTACTTAGATAGGCATTTAGTCCGTAAGGATACAGTGACTTTTTTTTTCTTTGTATGTAAATGGACTCCTTAAACAGTCTTAGTTTGGTGTTTGGTACAATATCTAACACATTAATTTCCATGTTATCAAAATTATGTAGTATATGATAATGCTCAAGAATGGCAGTATGCTGTCTATCTTTTGTGAGATTATTGTTGCTATTTTTAAATTTTTTAATATGAGATCTATGTTATTAATTCTGAGGTTGAGAGGGTTTTTTGTTTGACCTATATACGCGAGGGAACATTCTTTACAGGTTATTTGGTAGATACAATTGTAAGTCTTTCATAGTGATTGTATTTTACTAGATTTAGAAGGAGGAGGAGTAGCATTAGCCTTACATGTTTTTCAAAGCATGTTGCTTTATTTAATTATTTCTATGTTATTGATATGAGCCAGTAATTGAAAGTAAAGAGGGAGCTAGCCTGCTTTACAGTGTTTTTTTTTTTTTTTTTTTTTTTTTTTTTGGAAGGAAGACTAAACTATCGTAAAAGTGGAACTGTAAACAGTATTCGGTAACTCATTAACTAAAGCTTAAAATGCTTAAAAAACTAAAACCATCTAAAACATTCTGAAACTTTTTGCTCTTATAGCTGCGAAAATGAATAATATTATAAGTTAGGTTGTAAGTACAATACTAAAAAGACCAATTTTGGTCAAAAACGTTTGCGCAATATGCTGCAAAATTAAGGAAATGAGAAGAGAAATTGTAGTTAGCTCGCCAAAAAGTCACCAGGAGCTGTGGCTCCAAGAAAACGTTCAACACAGTTTTTTTTTTTTTAAAAAATGACATTGAATGAGGTGAAATATTAGGCTACATGCTAAATAAAATGTAAAGTATAAAACACAGTAACATACTAATCGTTGTAAACAAGTTAAAGGCAAAAAATAAAACATAGTAAAAAACCAATCGATGGAACAAGTTTAAACATATAAAAAAGTTAAAACATATAAAAATTATATAAAAATTAAAAGCGGAAAATGGTAAATTAGCTCAATTCGAGGTTCATCCTGGCTTTTCAAGGGAAATTTCTGTTTGATTGTCGAACCAAACTAACTCCTTTACGCGTTTCGCCGAAACAGACAATTGAAACTTTGCGTTACGAAATTTTTTTAATTAATTAGATAAACTGTCCTAAAATATTTTTTTAGTCTCAATTCTCTGTTCCAATTTCCCGACGCGTCCTCACAAATTGACACATTAAGGTGTAATATATAAAAGATTTTTATTGATTTTTTTTGATAAAGTTGTTCTGCAGAGTAAAATTCTGCGCAGAATTTTATGTTTTTTGAGTTGCTTTCATGTTATTTTTTGCTTATTTCATTGTTTGTAAGATACTGAAAAGTTTTGCATGATTTTTTTTATTTAACAGAAAGTTGGTTAATTTTTTATTAGGATAATTAATATTTGTATTAAGAGATATAGCTTATTTCATTATGATTTTTTCCTCTTGAAAATATAAGATAAAATATCATTAATTATACTTTGCTTTTCAGAATTTTTTGTTTTTTGTATTTTTTTATGTTATATATTGCTCGTTTCACTGTTCATAAGATATTAAAAAGTTTTGAGGGATTTTTTCTGGGAAACAAAGTTCTTAATGCAGATTTTGCAAAGGGAAGTTGGTTAATTTATATATTAGGATAATTAATATTTGTATTAAGGGATATTGCTTATTTCATTGTAATTTTGTTTTATACGTAATAACATTTTTTATGAAGTTGTTCTGCAGAGTAAAATTTACGCAGTTTTTAAATTTAACGCTTGGTGTTTCCTTCAGCCATTTTTCCGGTACATTTAAAAGCCAGACGAAGGCTGTCAGCGAAGCTACTAGTATAATATAAATTAAAATTACCCCGTTTACGTTATCAACACTCGGCGCGTATTAATTCGCACAGGAGCACAGTACAGAGGCACAAATCAACCAACACTTGCAATTCTAATATTTACTTTTATACAAATTAAATAAACGTTGATACTTTTAATATCTTGCACACATTAATTTTTTTAAAAAAATCTCTTTTGACGCACTGTATGGAAATCGATTTCGTTTCATCATTCGCCGCATCCAGCCCTCACTCGCCTTAAATTGCGATTCTCGTGCCGCAGCAAGCGTTCTTATTTGGCACATTTCCCATGTTACTGCGTGCACGCATATCACGAACATACACAACTACTTTTTTTTTTATTTAAGTTCGGAAACTTGCATTTCGAACCGCGAAACGCACGTTTTGTTTTGTTCGTTGCCGCCAGTTGATCATGCTGTTTGTTCCAATTGGGCACACACTTTTCGTTCACCTTATACTCTTGCTGCTGCTCTTTTTCAATTTTCCTGCGCAAATTCTACGACTTTCAGTTTAAAAGCCGCCGTATAGCTGCTGTATTTTCCCATTTCAAGCACGCTACTTGCTAACTACCACGGATTCCAAATGATACTATGAATGAAAAAGAAAGCTTGAAAAAAGAAAGCTTCCAAGGAGGAAAGAGGGGAAAGTCATTTCATTACAAAACAGTATTTTCTGGAAGCCACTGTGGTGAAAACGTGTTTGGACTGCCTTCATTTATTATCGCGTCTGCCGAGTGGATTGCTGGCGCCGATATTATGACTGAATAACAGTTGCAGCAGGATCAAGGAAAGTCTCTGCTATCCATCCTGGCGCCAACCAAACGCCAAACAAATGCATATTCTTTCTTTAAAGATGTTTATTGACTAATGTTATTGAATAAAGGGGAAAGGCGATGTTAAAAAATATATATTTTAAAGTAAGAAATTGTTTAGTTTTTGGGCTGCGGACATTGTGCGGCTCACTTTTTTTTTTTTTTTTTTTTTTTTTTTTTTTTTTTTTTTTTTTTACGTAAAAGTTTATCTGTAAAGTTGGGGGGCGGACATTACATGAGCGTGGACATTACACGAGCGTATACGGTAACTTGTTTACTAATATAGTGCAGCTTTCGCAGGGCTAAAAATATGTGGTTTAGTTTGAATTAAAAATATAAAGCAAAATGGCTAAGCACGTGGCTAAAATTTAACCATAAAAGTGAAATAATTAACTAAATTAAATGAGTGAATTATAGCTAAAGGATCGAATTCAGGTAGATATATAAACTGCAGCAAACCAAAATGAAAAAACGAATAAGTCCTATTAAGTCTTGAAACGAAATAAGTCCATTAATTACTAAAATAATAATGATAATTTTAAGAAAAATTTTAAAAAATTCACCTGATTAGAAAAAATTATTTTTTCTTTATTAGATTAAATTAATGTTGTTAGGTTATTTTGAAGCAGGAGATGTGAAAAATGTGCTAACCTGGACCTCTCGAATACGCGCGCCGAGTGTGCTACTATTACACCACGAAGACATGCGGAAAGAAGAGAGAAAATAGGTTATATATTCCTCCTTTCAAAGGGCCACTGGGAACTGAGGGGACTCAATCTCCAGATCGTGACGGTGCCGAATTATCGGCTACCACCTTTCATTTCGTGCGCCATTTGTAGAGTCATGGCGATTTTTGAATTGAGGAAATTGAAGAAACCAGACTCGAACTTGGGCCTCTCGAATATTCGCCGAGTTTGCTACCGTTACACCACGAAGGCATGCTGGAAGGAGGGATACCCTATAATGTGGAAATGAAATCCTGCTTAGTATACTGAAACCAGAATTTTTAATGACAGACAGCAATAAGGATGTTCCTATGTCTAGAAACTGTATTATTTACCCATTACAAACTTACCAAGTATGTATAATTCTTCCCTTTTTCTTCTGTTTATTGCATATATTTTCAGATTTATATGATCCAAAATATTAAGGTGGACATCTTTCCTACACTTTCTGTTCGCGACTCAAAATGCTTTTTTTTTTTTTTTTTTATTTAAAATATGAAATAACTATGAGAAATAAAGGTATCGTTCTGTCTTGTTTTCTTTTTGTGGAAGTTCTAGCACAACATTACCAAACATAGATATATGCGGAGAAGAATATAAAATATACTCACACGTTGTATTGAGACCTGGTACCATAAAGGAAAAATGCTGCTCCATCATATAATCCTTGAAGCTGCGAGGATAATTTAGAACCATTCAGCAAAATGTCTTCTATGACCTCAAGATTGTGCTTCCATTTGAACTTTCCGCTTTGATCTTGTGTCAAAGGCAATTCAGAAGCAACAGGAAAACGATTTTTTTCACTGCGATGTTCCTGCCGAAAGAATAATATTAATTTTGAAAAATAAAGAGGGTTACCATATTTTAAGAAAATTAATCCAGGATACTTTGAAAAATTACTTTCAGTGTTAAAAGAGGCTTAAAATCTGTTAGTTGCAACGAGAGTTGTAAATATCGAATGAAACAGTTGATATGAAAATGTAAAAGTACATGAAACAGTAAAGAACTTAATAAAAATGCGCAGAATATTGAAAAGTAGACTGTTTAGCAAGTCTATAGCAAATATGTGTTAATGAAATTACCCACAAAAATCTCGTAAATTAACCTATTTTATCCTAAGATACATATATTCCAGTAAAAATATTAACATTTCTCGCTCTTTTATCCCTTCTGTAAATGAATAACCTTTCGAAAGTAGAGTAAACTGTTATTGTAGAATTATTAGGTTTTTTGAAGCAGGAGTACATGAAAAATGAGCAATGCCCTTGCCGGGACTCAAACCTGGATTTCTCAAATAAGCGGCCGTGTGAGCTAGTGTTAGCGTAATGGCAGACCGCACATTCAGTTGATCAATGTCAAACGAATTTCGCATACTGCGCATGCCGAGAAGAGAATATGGCGCAATTTTAAAAGAAGAAAATACGATATATGGTTGATATTGTGTTATCAAGAAAAGCTATAAATATTTATACGTTATTTGTATTAAATTTTAAATTACTGACAGGGGTAGGATTTTAATAATTCAATATAAATCATTAATTGAATTCCAAAGATATACCAGATAACTATATATTATTTCAAATAAATATTTTACTTTTATTTGCTACTCTCTTTTAGGTAAATGCTACAAAATTTTGGAGGGCAATACGAAGCAATGAAAATTATAATTATTATTAGAGCTATAAGGTATTTCTCCAGCCTTCTTAAAATGCCTTTGTAGTGTAATGGTCAGCATACTCGGTACGTATTCCAGAGGTTCGAAGTTCGAGTCCCGGCGAGGGCATTGTTCATTTTTCATGCATCCTGCTTCAAAATACCTAATGTCTTTACAGTGGCGCCCGAACTAAAATAGGTGGTGGATAGTGATTCTCTACCACTAGGATTTGGCAAATGGGTCCCCTAATTCCCAGTCTCCTCTTAAAAGCCCCCTTTTAAAATTGCCCTTTAAAAGGCGAGGTCATTGCTCATTTTTCTCAAGTTTTGTTTTTTTCGAAGCAGTTTGTCTCCTGCTTCGAAATAACCTAATGACTTTACACAGTAATAATTTTATCAAATAGAAAAAGAAAAAAAAATGGAGGAAGGGCACAGCTCAGGAACAAATCTTTAACTTAATATGGTCGGTATGAAATTACTCATTGCCTTATTGTTTGAGTCCGATGCTTTCGTGTACCTTACGTGATTCATTCTCTCATTAAGGATCATCTTTAAGAGAAGGGAGATACTGTTCAAAAGTACTGTTTTTGTGCAAACTCACATGCACAAAAACTCCAATTCCGTAAAAACTGAGTACAACTGAATGGATTTATTTAGATTAATGTGTATCATTTTACACATAAAAATAAGTAAAAAAATTCAGCGCAAATGTACGTGATACAAGCGAATGTGAAGCAATTGAAATTCTAGCTGATAACGAAGGTTTAAGGGGAAAATGAATACCTTAGCTACAAACGCAAACTTTTAAGTTAATAAAGGAATGTTATCTAACTCATATACATTTTAAGAGTTGGACTTCACACTCTCAGTCAGATGAAGATGTTAGAGAAGTAAGTTTTATTCCTTCTCAAATGTAGTTACTTAATATTAGTACAAATACGGTTTCCCGCATCGCTTAAATGCTTTTAGCAGCTCGATTAACTCAATAACATTCGAGTTTGCACTCTGCTATAGATGCAGCTTTGATACTAATAAGGAGTGTGGTTTGCTATGACATTTATGCGTGTTCAACAGCTATAGATCATGCTCTCACTAAAGTGTTTAATTAGAGTTTGTAGAAATAAGTCTTTTATATAAATTGCTTCGTACCTTCAGTTTCAAGAAATTTACCAAACAGGCTTTTATATGCGTACGCTCCTTATCCTTCGTAAAGAACACACGTGTACCTCTAAATTATTCTCTCCGTATGTATCTAAAAAAATCTTTAAGCTAAGACTATAAGACTCATCATGGTGGCTTTGGGTAGCCATAAATCTTTTGTTAATATGTTTAAGTGAGTATGTTCACTGATTATTATTCCTCCCCATGTATCGCATCTACAACGTGGTGATGGTCTTATTTCCTAGTATTTATGGAAATATCAATGTATTTCAATTCTGATTGTCTCTGTACCAATTCCGAATAACTCTATTCGTCTGGAGATATGTTTTAGAGCAAAGTCTGAAATTCTGTTTTGGATTTTGAAATACAACTATTTCGTAGAGCAATCTTTAGCTAAATTATAAGAAAACCATTATTACGAATTTTATATATATGTAAATAATTTTAGTGAAATTATATGTAAATTATAACATAAAATGTACATGAAAGGCATCAAGAGTGCGGAAAAATAAGATTACAGGGAAAATCTATTTAACATTGAGTAAATGGCTATCTCGCTAAATTGCGATGGTTTCGGTAACTAATTTCTGGTGCCAAATTTGGCGAGAAATCGCCAAAAGTCATCAAACTGAGTGACCATTTGGCGATATTTTGGGCATGTTCCTGTATAATTGTAATTGGTACTGTAATTGAATAAGTTTAAATGATCTCTATATGTAACTGCAACCGTATACAGCCCTTATACGTAGCTTTAATCGTATATGTTTTCCAGTAATTTCTAGAAAAAGAAGGTATTGGAAATTCCTAGAAGACAAGGGGAACTAAGACAGAGAGAGCTTCAATCCTCAGTTTTTAGTTCAGAGTTGATTTCGGAGATCTGTGTAAATAAAATTAATTATATCTTCCTTTTAATTAAATAAGAATATTTTAACTAAATAATGTACTTCAAAAATAATCTTTATATTTGCGACGAGACAAACTTGAAAGGTACAAACATTTATTTTTGCTTGCGTATAAAGTTTTACTATATTCTAGAGTTTTTACTATATTCTTTAGGACAAGTTTGCGATGGACGATCTTGAAGTCTAAACAAACATAATTACAAGCACATAAACGCAAATAGAATAATCAGTGTCATCCTAGGTTACCCATAATAACTTCCAGAATGCAAAATGATTACAATTATGTCATTTACAGTGTTATCATTCCTTATGTTCAGGATGCTTATAGGATTGCTAAAGACAGATAAAAAGAGAACTAACAGGTCAATCATGCAACTTGAGTTATCTATTCAGCAAACGATATATTTTATTTATCTAAATATTATCATTAAATGAGTATGCATTTTGTTTAATCATTACTGCTCAACAACTGCAGAATGTCAAGGTCACTGAAGTAGTTCGACCCGGGTCAAATCCTGGCGAAAAGGTTGGCTGCATGGGCGTTTTTCTATGTTTTCTCCATGTTTAACCTGAATGTGAGCCGAATTCACTCTGAAAATACTCCGCTAAGGCATCTTTTTCTGCAGTAGGCAACCGCACGTCCTTTACCTTAATCCAGTCCAATTTAACTCTACTCTTTGCTTGGTATGTGATTTAAAAGAAAAAAATAACCTTTTACGTGCGACAGTTTTGTACAGAATAGATTATTTTCATGAGTTATGCTATTAAAAATGCATATTTAAACTAATCGTTAATGATATGCTAAGGCATTTTATATAAGAATGTTACATCTGAAGGATACAAATTCAAGAAGAAATCGGTATTTTACCCCATAGGTTTCTTTAATACATTTAGCTCGAAGTTCATTGAAAAAAAATATATTTCCTCTGACGTGCCATAGAGAACTTCTAATTGGGCTAATCGACCATTTACCGCTTCTTAAATTTTATTTTTAACTCGATTAATTAGTTAATACTTTTACTATGTTTTAAATATACTTAATTAGTTTAGCATATAGCTTACCATTATTGTTGATTTTTACTTGTAAATAATCAAATGTTATATTTTTCTCCTTTAACACATTTCACTGCAACTAATTTTGCTTATGTTAAAGTTTTTACGGAACCACAGTATTTAAGCAGCTTTTTAGCGTGCGTACTAGAACTTTTCTTTTAATTTTCTTAATTTTGCAGCAGAATGCGCAAATTTTTGACCACATAGGTCTTTTATCGTTTGTTCTTTCTGCTTTACTTTAAATTATATATATATATATATATATATATATTGAGAATGATGAAAGTTCACGAGTTTCTAAAAATATGAGATATACTGAATTAAAATTATAATAAAATAATGATTCAAGTGCATTAATCATTAGCACTTCTTAGCAAATTCTTTTTAAATTCTAATACACTGTTATATGATATTATAAAATACCTTTCTTTTGGAATACAAAATGCATGCCTATTTAAAATTACCGCATGATAAAGGTAATGTAATGACCTTTTGTTTTTTGCACAGTGGAAGATCTAAAATCCTTTTTCAGACTCTGTTGAATATGACGTAGCAGGAAAAATAACATATTTACTAATTAGCTTATAACATAACGTATATTATTGCTGATAATGCAATAATAATAAAGTAATAATGGCTGATATTGCAGCTCACAATAAATGACACACACACAGCATTTACAGTGAACGGCATTTAAAGTGCATCATCGCAAGTGTTTAGAGACTAATAGCCCTTTTGGGTTATATATATATAACTTACTCATAATACTTAGAAAAATTAAAACTTTCAGTGAAAATTTCTTTAAAATAGAGAATAATCCACAATGAAGCAAAATGAAAGAATTTTTTTCATTGAAAGTTGGATTTTTTTACGTATTTTGAGTAAGTTTTCATTTTGGGAAAGTTCATTTTAAATTAGAAATATTTTCATTAATGATATTACGTTGTATTTTTGTCATTTTTCTTGCTTTTGGGAGGACCAGAATTTTCGGATAAACTGTTGAGATTAAAAAAATATATATAGGAATGGTTCATCAGCTAATTCTGGATACAGAAAAGCAAGAATTTTCTTATGGAAGAGGATTGTAATTAATTTCAGAGTATCCTCCTCCTGAAGACGCTATGTTGGAGTTGATGAGATTCCTCTTCTTTCATGTTCTTCTTTTACTTTATTTGTTCTTTGTTTTTCTTGTGATTTTTTAAAAATTTTCTTTTTATTTACAGAATTCTAATTCTACACTTATAGAATTTTTTGAAATTTAATTATTTGAATTTCATGTTTTGGTCTTTGTCAAATATTGGCTCTAAAAAATCTTTCTTTCTATCTCTCTCTCTCTTTCTCTCTCTCTCTATATATATATCAAGTATTTAATTATTAATGTTGATTATCCTCTAGGAAATGAAGAGCAAAAAAAATATTGGAATAGTAAACTATTCAAAGTTAATTTCTTACGAAATGAGATTAAACTATGAAAATTAAAAATTAGTAAAAATATATGGAAAATGATGAATTTTCGAGGGAAATTAGTCTTACTAAATCACCAATAATTAGTAAAATTGATCGAGTTTCATCTCTAATGAAATTCATTTCCAAATTTGAAGAAATTTGCTGAGAATTATTTAAATTATGAATTGGTATTTCCTTAACAGCTTACTTCTTCACAAATTTATTAAATTTAATAACGCTGTTTTTAAACAAATAAACGGAATCTCTAGGGAGACGAACTTCTCAACACAGATTTACAACCTATAGTTATTCACTAAAGAATTTCAGTTTCAACAGCCGCTGGACAAAACTAATTTAAAATCTTTTTGCAAATATTTTCACGGACATAGATTTTGAGTTCATAGAAACATTCCAAATTTGCGTTTCTTATTTAAGTCTTAATAAAACCAATACAGTCAACAAGAAATTGATTATCTAGATCTGCAAATCATTAACTACAATAAAATTAAACTTTTTGATAAAAGAAGATATTTTAAATTAACAACTATAAACTATATAATAAACTATAAACTATATAATAAACTAATTAACTAATATATCAAAATTTCAAGAGAAGTTATTGGCTAAACGACACTTTATCAAATTAATAGAATTAAAAATACTTGTGCAGTAAAAGACTACTTTTATGAAGAACTAATTCTAATTACACAAATCTTTTTTGGAAAATAAAACACCCATTTTTATTAACTTAATAATAAAAATGGGTAGTACCCATTGGGTTTATTTAATATTTTGTTAAAAATAGTAAAATGGGTACCCATTTTTATTATTTTATGTTAATACCATTTTTATAACTTAAATAAAATTTTTATTACTTAAATAAAGATGGTAATTTTTTATACTTAATTAAGTTAATAAAAATGGGTATTATATTAAGCTCAATATTCATCTATAGCTTAATATTCATATATTTCATTTCCTTACTCAGCAGCAAATCAGAACGCTTCTTTCAGATTCTACGGAAAACGAACCTAGAATTATTTGTGTAGTGAAACTCTTTCAGCATCTAATATTGCATACCTGAGTAATAAACCTAGAGGTTGCTACAATCAAACCGTCTTTTCGAATAAAAAAATGGTCGAATATACCGCCATTGTAAGATTACAACAAACTTAAGTAAAAGTAATTTACTAACGTAAATTTACGGCTCTCATAAATTTAGTATGTTACATTGGAAAAGTAAAATTGGATTATATCTTGTAAATAATGCCTTTTAGCAATCTTTAATTTACCATTTTTATACATTTTATGCCATCCATGCCATGCTAATCTTCTCTGTATCGTTCTAATTTTAGTATATGTATTGCCGAAGCAAGTACTATACATTTTATGTATTGATGTATTACCACTTAGTTTTTAGCATTCGTATTTCTCTATCGTATTCCTACCTGGCAATCGGGTTTCCTCTCAAGTTTCTCTCTGTTGAATGCGTCGGAGCATTTCTTTCGTATATTTAAAATTAACTTAAAGTCATTTAAATGATTCTTTTAATAGCTTTACTATTGCAATAGTTCTGTACTCTTCATTTCCTAGTGAATAATCAACATTAATAATTAAAATTTATAGATTTTGATTCGAAAAGCCCATTTTTACCTTTTTAATAATTGAGTTAATTATCCCTGTATTTGATACCGTAATTGAATAACTTTCTGATTTCTGATTGACTGAGAAAAGAAATTACTATAATTAAATAACTTTCTAATTGAATAATAATAAATAACTTTTTCTATTTTTCACTGTATGTGAACCTACATGTAAGTGTAACCATATCCGGCCCTTATATGTAGCATTAACCGTATATGTCTTCCAGTAATTTCGAGACATGGAAGGTATTCGAAATTCCTCGGAGACAGAGGGGGAAATATATAAGACCAGACAGAATATCACTTCTCAGGTTTTAGTTCCGACGTGACTTCGGAGTATTGAGAGATCTCCCTGGGAGCTTCGCTCTTTAGATGCGCTTAGCATTCCTTGTGTTTAACGTTCTTAGTAGTTTAAAGTAGTAACTACTGATTGTGTTCTGCCCTACTGAGAACAGTCGCACAAGTTCTTTTGTGGGAAGTTCCAGAACTGTAGAGTGTTTCTTTTGTGAAAATAAATGTTAACAAGCTGTCATCGCTTCTGTGTGCATTCAATAAAATACGAACTCGTACTTACGAAACAATATTAAAATTGTTTGAAAATGCAACTGTTAAAAGAAATCAGAAAACAATGAGAAAAAACGTGAAATTATTTTACATATGTGGGAAATAATCTGATATGTACCAAGTCTCAAAAAATGCTTCACAAACTCAGCAATAATTGGCGACATATGAACTAAAATAAAATTATGACACTAATTATTACCTTTTAAAATTCTAATCAAAAGGTACTTTGCTAGGAAGAATTTAATTAGCACAATAAATAAATTAGATAAATAAATAAGCTTAATTAAATAATTTAAATAATTTACTAATTAATTAGTAAATTACATACGTATGTATATTGTTGAATGTATACGGGTTCATAATAGATTGAATGCACACAGAACTGATAAAAGCTTGATAAAATTTGTTTTACCAAAAGAAAAACTTGAAAGTTTTGGATCTTCCCAAAAAAATATTCGTACAGCTCTTCACAGTATTACAGAGCCCAGTCAGAAGTTACGCTTCATACTACTTAGGACGTTGAACAAAGCGCAATGCAAAGCCCACCTAAAGAGCGAAACTCACGTGGAGATATATCAATACTCCGAATTTAACGCTGGATTAAGCAACAACTACTACTCAGAAATTGATGCTTTCCCGGCCTTGTATAGTTTCTCCCGGCCGCTCAGAGATTTCTAGTACTTCAACAAGTTACTGGAAGGCATGTGTGGCTAACGTTACATCTAAGGACCGGATACAGTTACAGTTGCACAATTGGATTAATTACAATTATTCAATTACAATATCCATTACACTTATACAAGGACCGAATCAAAATGTCGCTAGACGGTGGCCAAGTTTGACGACTTTTGGCAAATTCATCCCAAATTTGGCGACAGAAATTAGTTTTGAAAACCAACTTGGCGATATCTCGCTAATTTAGCGAGATTTAATCAATGTTAAATACACTTGCCATTGTATTATTCTTACTTTTCCGGCAAAGTTTTGCTTTTTAGATTTTCATGTTGAATTACACAAGAAAGTACTACAGTTTCACATATAATTTCACTAAAATTACTTACATATATACAAAAATTCCTAAGAATATATATATATAGAGAGAGAGAGGGAGTATATAAACACATTTTCAGCAGAGTCTTAAGTTAATGCTTTTTTTATATTTGTTAAGTATATCTAATGCGTCAGCTATTTACTTGCGGAGTTCTTCCATAAATGAAAGCTGCTACGAATTCTTTAGCTTTTTGAAGATCCTTGATATCTTCTGGCATTTTCTCGAGACCTTCTTTCATATCTCGAATGTAAACGGAAGCATATCGTCTGTTGCCTGGTGGAAGGCGTTTCGGTGTAATATCTTCAACTACTAGTTTCTCCACTTTTTCTGGCTGAAAATATCAATGGGAAATGGTTTAATGTTAGAAAGACATCCTTGAAGCAAACATTTCTATTCCCAGTACTTTGAGCTTTAATTGTCTCTTCATTAAAAGAGATAAAATATGTTAAATTTAGCAGCAGAAGAAACAAAATATTATTTTTGAAAATTATACCACATTCATCACATAAAGCCCTAAATGTGAATTTTTCTCCACTGGGTACAAATATAGGTCTAATAGCAAGACTGCATGAAATATTGTAAAGAAAGAACATAATTAGCGTTTTATTAGACCAAAGAGGCAATTTACTCAGAAGAGCTATTCATTTCGTTTTGGCATTTTCTGTTGTTCATTTTAAAACGTCGTTTCAATTTTCAGATAGTTGCCACCAAATGTTAGAGCCCTATATTTAAGGAAATTAAAATAATGAAGAATCTGCATGAGTTTATGTATTTTTCTCCCATCGTGAAAAACGAGCGGCACCTAGAGACATCAAATTTTGAATAGCGTAGTCCTCCACTCGATATGGGCAGCTGGAAACCCAAATTTGGAATTTGTTTTATCATCTATTTCGTATTTTGTAAAACGTTAACGAAGTTTTGATTAACAAATTCAACGATTTCGAAGCGAGCAATGGCAACACTGTAAGGTGATAAAAGTATCTTCAGCACGCGAGACTGTGTATCGGAAATTCTAAAGTTACGATCTTTGTATATATTTTACGATACTGCTGTTGAATTGAATTTTATCGTTTAAGTGCGAATAATCTTATAGTTAATAAATAAAGGTAACTCACAAAATGTAAAAAAAAAAAAAAAAAAAAAAAAAAAAAAAAAAAAAAAAGGCTCCTTAGGGCGTAATATAAAATCTGAAAGTTTCAGAATTTTTATTTTTTAAATTTTACTACTGATGTAAGTATTATTAACAATATCATTAAAAAACATGCACATGATTTTTAAATAGCTCAGGTAACTTAAGCGAATATATATGCAAATATCAGTAATGGTTTAATAAGTTTAAATAACTTCGTTAGATAGCTCTATTGCTTTGATTAGCTTAAGCTATAGATGTTTCTATAGGTTAATGTTAATGATGTTTTAAGTGAAAATTATGATCAGCAGCGTGCTCAAGGAATGTTCAGTTTAACTGATCAAAGCTACTAGGAAACAAAAAAAAAAAAAAAAAAAAAAAAAAAAAAGAAAATTTATATATTTCGTAGCTGACAAAAGTAATGGAACTTCAAGTAATTCTTTTTTCTTGAAGGAAATTATAGCATCTATTTAATATAAAAATAACAAATGCGCAGCAGAATTATACAATGTTCCGTATAAATTTGGGCTAGCTTTAAAAAATCATATAAAATAAGCTGTGTATCAGAATAACTGTATGCATCAAAGATTTATCAAAAACGAAGTAATTATTTTCTGAAATTCTTCGTTTGAATTCTAAATGATGACTAGATGAAAAGTTACAGCTATACGGAATACTGCAGAGAAAGAGTGACGTCGGAGAAAGAGTGCGGAAGCGAAGGGTATTGTCCATTAATTCAAATTAGAATTTTAAACGTCTATTGCCAATTAAGTGTCTTTGTTTCAAATTTCATGAATCTGAAAAGAAAATTTTGGTTTATATTGGCAATGTGAATTTTTATGAAAGGCTTTAAAACTAAGTACTGTAAAATACACTCATGTCCATAAATTAAGGATAATGCAAAATCAGGCAAAGGAAGAATTAGAAGCAAAATAAATTTGACTTATTTGCAAAGCTTATTTATTAAACAAAAGGTAAAGAGCAAAAAAAGATGCTATATGTTTGATATTATTAAAAAATGTAGCGATTTTTTCTTCCTGGAGCAAATTACACAAAAAAAAAAAAAAAAAAAAAAAAAAAAAAAAAAACTATTTACAAAAAAAAAAAAAAAAAAAAAAAAAAAAAAAAAAAAAAAAAAAACCAATATTACATGGTTGGTATGATTGTTAATACATTGTATGTCTCACAGACGATGCAATACAGTGCGTACAACGCTTAGGCATGCTGAGTATCAAATTATCGATCTGATCTTGGGGGATATTACACCACTCAAAAAGCAATGCACTCCGAAGTTCCGGTAGACATGTAGGAGGAGGTTGACGGGCTGCAACTTGTCGTCCAAGCATGTCCCACACGTGCTCTACTGGATTCAAGTCCGGTGAGAATGCTGGCCAGTCCATACGGGTGATGACCTCCGATTGAAGTCATTCGCTTACGATGTTTGCACGGTGAGGAAGGGCGTTGTCATCCATAAACAGAAATTGTGCGCTCATGGCGCCCCGAAACAAACGTACATGTTGTTCCAGAATGACGTCCCGGTAGATTTGGCTTGTCATGGTTCCAATTTGAACATGCAGTCAGTTCTAGAACCCAGAATAATTCCACCCCAAACGAGCACTCCTGCGCCAACGTAACGGTGTCGTTCAATGATGTTTTCTTGGTGGTAACGGGTACCTGGAGCTCTCCATATGAAAGTCCGGCGAGAATCAGGCTGCAAGCTAAACCTGGATTCGTCCGAAAACATCACACAAGCTCACTTTTGCGGTGTCCACAATGCATGCTCTCTACTCCAGGCTAACCGCAGGTGACAGGGAGTTGCAGTAAGTGGAACGCATCTGATAGGTCTACGAGCATAGACCAATCTGCCCTAAGCGTCTGTACACGGTCTGCCTTGAAATTGCCGTACCAGTGGCTGAAGAGAGCTGACGAGACAGGTCTGAGGCTGTGCTCCGCCTGTTTCTTTTGGCAGTAACTGCCAAATACCGGTCCTCATTCGGCTTTGTAACTTTGGGGCGACCTGTGCTGTAACGTCTACTCACATTACCATCATCTTGGAATCGTTGCCTGAAGATGGGCAATTCCAAGTTCGTCTGATACTTACAGTTGGGTACGCCCACATTACAGACGGCCGATAATTCTACCACGTAAAAAATCATCCAAATGCGTCCTTTGTGTCATAACTATTCGGTTATTGCACTCAAATGCTTATAAAGCGCCTGCGAACAATTTTACTTCTTTACTTGTATTCCTTATATATCACTCTCTTACACTTTCGTCATTGTGACGTACCATCGATGTCATCTGGTTACTTCCTGAAATTTGCATATGATTCTTGGAGATGTGTGTAGTGATTTTACAGGTGATATATTTATTTTAGAGTTCGATTTCAGCGTAACTCCGAATTATCCTTAATTTATGAACATGAGTGTATTATGATTATGATATTCAAACAAAGATTTTACAGAAATGTGAACTTTCTTGAAAAAATTAGGACATTCCTTAGAGTGTTTTACAGAAAAATGAACTTGAAGACTTTCAGATTAAATAAAAGAAGATTAAATTTCGATATAATTTTCAATTTGAATTTATTGTTAAAAACGATAAATACAAGATTTTTTAGTTTAAAAATTATTTGTATCAAATTTTATGATTTTTCCATTACTGCATTTCCCTTATTCCTAAAAAGGCCTTTCTGTCGCCAAGCCCTTATCTCTTTGAAGGGGGGAATATGTAAGATAAAAATTATGTAAATCAAAATTATAATTTAAACTAAAGGTAAAACTTTAATTCTTCCTCTCTGTTCTAAAAATCGTTATAACTTCTCGGGATTGCGTCCTTTCTAGATCATTCTCTGGCCTGCGGAGCTCTGATGACGTAGTAATCAGGAACCAAAACTTTTCTCATCCCGTTCTTCCATATTGCACAACTACGCACTTTAGCTTCGCTCTCTGCTCTACTAGGGTGTAATTTTGCTGGTCTGCTTTCTATCTAAACAATATCAAAAATGTAAATTTTCTTGAACAGGCATGACTAGGGTGTTAAGTGAATTGTGATCACAAACTCAACTGGAAAATAAAAATGGAATTAAAACCGCCTCAACTGCCAAGTTTCTTAGATATTACCAAATCAACATATAAGCATACTACCCAAACAGAATTCTTCAATATTGATCTAAGTACGCATCAAAAGTGCTCCGACTTTTCCTTGCTTTTATAATATAATATATACATGTGTGTGTGTGTGTATTCGATGATTGTCTCGAATAATTTCGGCTGCTGTTTTAATGTTTGTCCGTAATGTTAATTGACTTACCTTTTTTAGAGCTGTCAGCATTCCCACTTTACCCCCCATACTGTGGCCAACAAGTATGGCTTTCTCTAAGTACATAAACTCCATGAAATGCAGTAGATCTTCTTTCATATATTCGTAATCGAACTGATCATTCCATCCACTGTCTCCATGATTTCTTGCGTCATACGTAAATACCTGTGTAGAACAACAATATAATTTAACATTTATTAATTACGTTTTATATACTTAAGAGTTTGATACAATTTAACAATTAATATCGTGTTTTAACAAAAGTTTCCCGCCACCGCACGCAAATATCGTCTGCACAAACAGTTAGCGTTGGTGTGTTTAATCATATTTTATCAAACGATTTCTGGCATTTGAAAGACAGACATGAGTAAGAACACTATGTTGTGAATTTTGTAACCAAATTAGAAACATAATTTACTTCCAATTCTCTTGCAAAAAGAATGTTGCTACAGAATGTTACCAAACCACTTGTACAGCTTCAGATACACTGTATCATATGACTGTGAAGGTTTGGTACCGAAAGTTCAAAAACAGACAAATATATTCAAGAAGACATTCAAGAAGCAGAGCGCTCTCGGGCCGGCTTACTGATGTTGATAAGGCCGACTGCGAGAACTTGTGGAAGAAGATCAGTATACAACTACTCGAGAGCTTGCTGAGGACTTAGACGTTAGTGCCATGTCCATTAGTCGCGCTATGCATCGCACAAACTTGAAGTACATATTAAATTGCTGGGTGGCGCATGAGCTGACGCAAGCAGATAAGGGCAGACGTGTTCGGGCCTGCACTAATCTGCTCGAATATCAGATCAAGGACAAAATTCTGGACTGGATCGTCACTTAGATGCAAAATGGATTTACTTCAGCAGCACAGGCTGAAAAGGGGGTTGGTCTGTGCCCGGTGAGCACGTCGGCAGCGTCGCAAAGCGCAATTTCGCTAACAAAAAGATCATGCTTTGTATCTGGTGGGATTGTCTTTTATTATCCACAAAGAGTATCTGGAGAAAGTTAAAGCCCTCGATAGTAAGGTGTACAACGAGATGCCAGTCTGTGTTCACGCTGTTATCAAAGAAAAACGTCGAACTGATTTCCATCGCAAAAAGATAATGTTTCATCAAGTTAATTCAAGACCACAATGTGTCTGCATTCACCAGCAGGACTCTGTACGAACTCGAATCTTTTGCCACAACCACCATAGAGCTTCGACATCACTACTTCGGACTTTTACTTTTATTACACCTGCATCTACACCTTGCTGGTGCTACCTTTAATTCTGCACAGGACGTCCAAAATGAAGTTGATAGAAAATCATAGATTTGGGTGGTGATTACTACCCGCATTAAAGGTACTGCTTTCATGGGTTTTTTCTTCTAATGTTATCAAGAACGTTTATTGGCAGAAAACGTTCTTTACAACCAGATATTAAGAGTATTTTAGGAGGTAATAAAGCAATATTTTATGGTACTAAAAATCGAAGAAAATGTAAGACTGAACATTTCGTAGTTATAATGTAAGGATTTATTTATTTTAATTAACCAGTTATTTTACGTTTCAAAACTTTTCTGTCACTTCTTTCCTTTCGTTTTTCTGCCAGAATGCAAATTTTTTATCGAGTCTATTTAAGTGAGGGTTAGAGATTATTTTAGTCAGAGAGTGTTCCGCTTGTGGAAGGCCAGGCCATTAATTGTTATTCTACGATAGCATTCCTGTCTACGGAGTTGCTTTTCTTGTAAATAGTGCTGCCACGCCGGTGTAGGTTAGAGTCAACTTGCCCGTTAAATATTTTTCTTAGCCTTTGCCTAACTAAAGACTTAGATTTATTTTAAATTGAATTCCTTACTTCTGAATTTACGCCATAAATACTGGTTAGTTTTGTAAGCACTAGAAATGCCTTTTTTTCAACTTATTTGAATTCTTATTAAAATCTTTTACACTCATCCCGCGTTTCTGTTTGCTTAACAAGACATAGCGATAAATCGCTTAGTTTGATTTTAGAATCTTGACTTCGTGTATGTTACCAAAAGGAGTAGAAACTTTGCAATAGTACTGCAGATAATGTACATATCTTTCGTATTAAAATAAAACTGAAATACTGTTTTCAATAAGAAATAGGAACCACATCTTATTGTTTCTAAACATGGCGAGAATTTTACACTAAAAGTTATTAATATTTTAAAATTTTACATTTATCCTGAAAAGGAAGCTTTCTTTCAAGAAAAACTGCGTCATTCTTTGATTTTTCAGAGAAGAATTTGATAAGGACGTTAAAAATAATTACTAGTCGAAAATTCAAGATCTAAGAATGTTTATTTGAATCCAAAGTTATACCATACATACACACATTTGTTTTTCAATCACATATAAGTCTAAACCTGTAGCTATGCATATTCTGCAAAGTGTTTTCCCCGAACATATCAGCGAAATAAATGCCTTTTACCAACACGGGTGATTAAATTGAAAACTATTTTTGAATTTGCATAGGAATATATCAGCGTAATTAGTGCGTTAAAAAGAATGGTCCTTTAAAATTCTCCATATTTTCACCTGTGCCCATTAGAAACATTGTGTAATATCTCATTAATAACAATGTAAATATATTACTCCCTGCTTATTTTCCTTCAGTTATTTGGCGAGTAAGTTAGAAAATTATCTTATTTAGCAGGATTTTGTAATTAATAGATTTTGCAACAGTTTACTGTAAATTCTTGATCATGACTTAGTTTTCCTTAAACATTTCCCCAAGCATGTTGCATCCTTTATCAGAAAGAAAGAATTTTAGGGATTTTACATGATGGATTTACTACGTCTAGCCCTTAATTACGCTATTTTATTATCGTTTTTATCTGGCTATCCTCAACTGCTCAGAAAGCTAATAAACTTACTTCAGGTAATTTAATAATTAAATGAAACGAAAGTTAAATGCTTATTCGTAATAATAGTGTTATCAGATAAAGCCTGAAGATAATTAAAAACTAAAATTTCTACTTCTTACCGATAAACAAATATTCGTATATTAAAAGTAGAAACAACCAGTAATTATTTACAATTTCAACGGATCTGCAGCTTTCTTCTTTAAACGAATAATTAACCAATTAAATTAAATCTTATCTATTTTTAACTCACAAAAGATTACTTTAAGTCTCATATGTCAGAAAGATTTGTAAAACGGTGATTTTACGTTATTGTTAAATGCAAAAGTGTGCTTTCACCATATTGCTGTCACAGTGGTCATAGCAAATAGGTTCTATGCGTTACTGCAGCGTTTCACAAATTCTCGAGCTTTATATCTGATATCCGACACAAAATAAATGTGTTCAAAAAATCTTCCTCAAACTCGGATAGACCATTTGGAGTTCTTTAGATAGAAGAAACCGGTAAAAGCGCAGAATAGGCTGCATCAACAAAGTTCAGTAGGAGGAGCTGTGTGACGTCCATAAATGGGTGGGACTAAGCTTATGATGTCACAATGTAGTCTCGCATTTACACTACTTGTACTTTCTATTATCTCTTAAAAATAACAATAATAAATTGTTTATTATTGTAAATTAATATCAAATTCTTTACTTTTAATTTACATTTATAACATTTAAGCTTAGGCGTTACTGATAATAAGTATAATAAATTGTTTATATTTAAAATTACCATGATACAGTGAGCGAATTCTACCAATTATTAAAACGATAAACAACGTCGCAATCTCTAATACTTGTAGAGCTTCAATATTTTCAAGGATTTTTTATTAAATTAGTATTATTATTTTTATTATTATTATTTTTTTTTTATTATACAAATAAAATAATATTTTTAAATCTAAATTCATATTGTGGAACATTTCAATTTTATCATTTTACAAATTACCTTCTTGCTACGTAATGACATAATTCCTTACATACCAATAATTAGACAATTTTCATTATTTCTAAAAATTTTAAACTTTACATTAATAAAAAAGAAGAATATTTTTATTGCATATGAACATCATTACACAGCTTTCATATCAGTTTCTAAAATTCTTAAATCACGCCATATTCTGTGTAGGCATGCTAGAATTCTACGCATTAATAAATAAAAAAACTAATTTCTCAGAATGAAAGAAAATAATATAATAAAATAAATACTATAAACTTGGAACACTAAGCAATGCTTCACATACGCACACACACATATTATCAATGAACTCATATTATCAAGTGCAATTACGATACCAAACACTACGTATTAAAATATGAGGTAAACGTTACTTCAAGAGTTAAAGTTCACAATTTTGCTACTGTTGAGTAGATCGTCGGGCTATCGATATATGTCGTAAGTAGGAAAACGTTATAAACCTATCAAAGCTAAAAAACTAAAAATACAGTTTAAATGAAAAATGACATCTTAAATATAATTCACAATTAAAACAACAATACAAATTTAAAATACACTAACGATATGTTAAACATTGCACATAAATAAAGTCACATTACTGCTCGGCATCACACACAACCTCGTTTTCTCTTTTACACAACGATCAGTATTCGCTCGAAAAACATCAAAGAATTCCACAAACTCGGTGTCCATGTGCTCATCCATCTATTTTCACTTAAAGAAAAATCAGAGAATTGCTCAAAGTCGGCATTGCGCACCACATTGACTTTGACCATGTGCACATCGATCTATTTTCACTTAAAAAAACATCCCAGAATTGAACAAACTCGGCGTTGCGCACAACCTCGCCATTTCGCACCACATTGGCTTTGCCCATGTACACACATCGATCTATCTTCACTTAAAAAAATCCCAGAATTGCACAAACCTCGGCATCGCGCACAACCTCGGCCATTGCGTACTTCATTGGCTTTTGCCCATGTACACATCGATCTATTTTCACTTAAAAAATTCCAGAATTGCACAAACTCGGCATTGCACATTACATTGGCTTTGCCCATGTGTACATCGATTATTTTCACTTAAAAAACATCCCAGAATTGCACAAACTCGGCATCTCGCACAACCTCGGCACTGCGCACCACATTGGCTTTGCCCATGTACACATCGATCTATTTTCACTTAAAAAATCCCAGAATTGCACAAACTCGGCATTGCGCACCACACTGGCTTTGCCCATGTGCACTTCGATCTATTTTCAATTAAAAAAAATCCCAGAATTGCACAAACTCGGCATCG